GTATATGGATGAAGCAGGGTGTTAAATATTTATTACATATTAGAAAAAACAATACTATATATAGTTATGTTTATATTCAGCATATCCCTGAATATATATGAGATTGTATAATAAAAAAGATGTATATGATTAATATGAAATCCAACTCTAAATCTATTAAATCCAAATCTAAACCCTTTTTCCATCTTTTTCTGTTTTGTTTTTTTGCAGGAATACAACCCAGACCTCGTCCATAACATCTCTAAGAAAGAAAAGTCAAAGAAAGGAAATGATGTAGTCATGCTGACTCATGTTACAACAGCAGGAGACCACGCTGTAGACCGAGGAAGGTAACAGCTTACCAGTTATCAGTGCTTTAATGCATATCCTAATCCACATCATCCTCTGAGTGCCTTTTGTATTGTTTGTGAAAAAAATGTCTTTCAGTGTAAGCAGCTACGATAAAAACCAGCCGTACACAGCCTCCACAGAGTGGTCAGACGAGGACCAGACAGCCCCGAACTCAGGCAACGACACCAACGGAGGGATGAACCCCTTCGATGAAGATATGGGCACAGGTGTGAGAGTGAGAGCGCTGTATGACTATGATGGCCAAGAGCAGGACGAGCTCAGCTTCAGAGTCGGTGAGTGAGACAAAAGGGTTAATGTTATGAAAACCACAGGAAAAGCTTTTGAGGATCCTGCGTGACGCCGCGGGTTTTTATTTTATCTGAGATCAGCAGTGTTTTTGTAATTTTATTGCACATTGGCGTTGTTTCTCAGACTCTCTTCCTCTGTTAAAGGTGATGAGCTGACAAAACTGGAGGATGAGGATGATCAGGGCTGGTGTAAAGGTCGCCTGGACAACGGCAAGCTCGGTCTTTACCCAGCCAATTACGTGGAGACAATTTAGAAGTTCCAGCTGAGGACGTTTCCTCATCAAACCCAGACTGAACCGTCCGGTCATAACTGCACATTGCCAGAGACCTGAAATCAAATCAAAGCCTTCTCTTCCTGTCAGGCACAGTGAGCTGTCTTCATCTCTGCACTCATGGTGGGGAAGACTGACAGCTCAATCTGTTCAGGATCACTTCACCTCCAGATACTGCAACTGAAGCAAAATATTATTGTGTCTTTCGTGTGTAGCTGTGTTTGACACCGGTTGTGACGCTAACACGCCATACAAGATGTTCTCTCATTGTATTATTGATGTGGTAACGTCAGCTGTGCCTGGATAGCGAGAATGAGCTGTGCGTTGTGCATTTCATGTATATATTTTTTTAACAGTCGGGATGCTTGTACAGTTTTTTTCCTCACTGAGTACGGTGTTTTCTTTCTCAGTATTTACACATTTAGCCTTTGAGGAATAATTTGACATTTTGGGAAATGCGCATGTTCGCTTTCGTCCTGACTGACAAGATGAGAAGATTTATGCTGCTTGAATGTGAGTCTGAAAACAGCTCGTTGTTCAAACTCAAAAGAGATAGGTATATCTTTTGGCTAAAATCTCAGCAAATTAGATATATAGTTATGTTACAGTCACACTAGGGAAAGCAGTGGTTTAAGCCTCCCAAAACGTTTTGCGACTGCAGTGAACTTGTGATCTTGTCGCCTTTGAAGTGGTTTTTTAAAGACCAGATTCAGATTGATTGCAACATTGTTGCAGTGTGGCTGAATTTCCCCTTGTGGGACTAATAAAGGTATATCAAATCAAATCAAATTTATTAATTAGATGATAGTTATTTGTAAAAATACACCAAACTTTCTCAGAGTGACTGCAGTCGAGTCTGACTGTGAAGTCAGGTTGCCTCCACCATTCAACCTGTGCAGTCTACATGCAATCGAAAGTGGCCAGCTACTGGAGTTGGCGGCGTTGCATACAACCAGTTGGTCACTGTACTTTCAGTTGGTTTCTGACACCTGAAAAATGAAATGCAACCACCAGGCAACCACTGCTTTTTCCTAGTCAAAAGTAGGTTGCTGTCCTGTTGTTACTCTAGTGTGTCTGAACCCTTGGCAACTGTCAGCAATTGCAACCACTCTGTCAACCTTTGCCCCTTTACTCCACAAATACTCTCTTCTCTGGTGTAAGTTAGTTCTTCCAAATTGCATCTATTTAAGTTGGAACAAAATGAAGGCTACAAACACAAAGTGTTCATCTCAGCTTAGTGCTTTTTAACAACATACTAATGGCTGTTTCCGTGGTTACTGCTCTCCTGGAATTAACACTAGCTACCTTGGTTAGCAGGTCAACCTGTTGCTTACCTATAAAAACCTGAGAAAAACTAGAATCCAGTCTTCTTCGACAGGCTATTAGCGCACTTAACCACATAGTGAGCCATGTTCAACAGATAATTTCATTAAATGCTCCAAAAGGCACCAAGAGATGCCACCTAACAAACAGCTGGATAGTATGAATTTAAGCCCTTATATGATTTAAAGGGTTGAGCAATATAAAAGCAGTGGCTTCATATTTCACCCGTGAAAGTTTACAATGGTTTAACACACAGCTAATACATGCAATTCGTCCAGTTCCTCAAACCTCAGACAAAAAAAGTAAAAGCTACTTTTGGCTGGCTTGTCACAAGGGGTCGCCACAGCAGGTTGCTCTGTAAGCATGATTTGGCAGATTTGACGCAACCTCGAAGAGGATTTGTTTCTCTGGCTGGAATCGAACCAGCTGCAATAGCCCAAGAGGTTATTTAGAGGTTTTGAGTTAATGTAAAATACAAACACAAGAGATGTGTCAATCTTCTCATCTTACTGTTTGCAAGAAAGCAAGAAGCATATTTTCCCAGAATGCTGAACTGATTCTTTAATGCCTTGACTTGTTTTCGTGCTCCACTCTGCAGCATGTCTCTGAATTAGCATTTTGAAACCAGATAAAAGACTGCTCCCCATCAGTACAAAAACACACACGCACACCACAGCCACTCTAAGCCGATCTTGTCTTTGAAATGGAAATATGTACTCTACCAGACACTGCGAGGATTGTTTACATTAACCTCCGCTGTCCCACCCTTCTACAGCAGTGTGTCTGTTTAAGACTTTTACCTTCCACCAAGCTTCTCCTAATCTACGTCTGTTAATAACGTCAACAGCACGAGCTAAAACCTGTCTGGAGATATAAAGCTGCAGCTGTTTTGTGCGGAGATTTAAGTGAATGTGAGTGTTTTGGCATTATCAGCTCCGTGATTAGGTGCATGCTGATGCTCTCACACACTGCTTGCTCATCTTGTCTGAACTGAAGCAGTGCATGGCCTTGATGAGTTTCCACCAAATTATCAACTGAATTTTGATTAAATTAATACTCCTAGGCTGTCGGCATTATTAGCACCTCTGCAGACTGTATTCAGTTTCGTGTCTTTCTGTTTAAATATTTTGAATTCAGAGTGTGTGTGTGTGGACCCACGGTACGTGGTTTCGATTGCTTTACTACTGGTGAAGACTGCTCTCTTGTCAGTGAGGAAGGCAGGTGTTCTTTTACTGATGCAGCTAGAGAAAGCTCCAATGTGAAAAGCGGAAAGAGGATCCGTCTCTGAAATATTGATGACACAGTCGCCTTTTCTGCTGCATGAACTAAATTCATTTCCACGGGATCCAGAAGGGAAATGTCTCTTGTTGTCGTATTAATGCCTCTGTGTGCTATTTTTTAAGCATTGCCTCTGTTAACACTGGATTCAGAGCGAAATATGTACTGCCTTACCAAAATCTACCATCTTGCCACTCTTGCCGCCGCCTTCAATGAAGTGAAAGAGAGCTCATCACCAGAGAATCTGACTCCAGCTTATGAAGATCACTTTACACCAACATGACACACAGACACTCTTTGACTGATTGAAGATTATATAAATTTAAACGCTACAGCATCTTTACTGTCTCAGTGTATCTTTATATTGGAAGCTGAATGGGACTATTTACAAGTTTAATGAAAAGGGAGGGAAAGCTACAGCTGCAGCATCCACTGTGAAACTCCTGAAGGATGGGAAAGCATATTTTAAAACGCTCAAGCACCTCCAACTCCTCTTTTGTCTGTTTAGTGCTCATGCTGCAAATTAGAGGGCTTTCTTGATTTTTTTTCTTTTTTCATTTAGCATAGTGCTGTAATTTTCCAACTGTAGTGCCTGTTCAAGCAAAAATAAAAGATGTCATCGGAAAACTGAGGCACACACAGAGTCTGAGTCAAAGATTAATCACAAAGGTTAGATTCATCGCCGGACCAAAACAAGTGATGCTGCACATAAACATGGATATTATGGTGCAATTTGATATGAATGAGAAAGCGGAAATACCCTGCAGCGAAAGGTCCAGCATTCAAAGTGACGTGGCATTATAGCGAGGTATAAAGGTTAAATTGACCAGTGTGCAGAAAAATGGCCTCTGTTAGCATAAAGAGATTGATTACTGTGAATGTGGAAATTAAAGTTTAGCCACTTTGAACAAAAATTATATGTTGGTGTTAAAGCGTCATGTTTTTATACTCTATCTGGCTGTCAGATGAATTAAGGAAAGCACAAAATTACAGGTTGGCTTCACACCAATTATTTGTTTTGGGAGATGCTCAAACCATTTATGATCAGTCATCACAAATACTTTATTTTCGTGGCATGCAGTGTACCTGGGTATTGTTGCCGACCACGTCAAACCCTTTGTGACCACAGTGTGGTCAGCTGTGATGGACAAAGTGGGATTCTCAGTTTTCTGCTTTTGCATTGTCGACACACGGTAAAAATAAATAAATAAATTCCCAACCAAAAGGGGAAAAAAATCAAAATATCTTTAATGAGAGGGGCGTGTTTATAAACAGCAACTAGCAGTGTATTTAATAATGATTTTCATCATTTAATATGATTTCAAAAAAAATCTGCAGCCTGCCACAAGAGGGCAGCATAACCCAAGATTCACTAAAGATGTTCCAACAAATAGTCATAGAACATATATTCTAATT